GAAAATGTATTCTTTCTAGAATTAGAAAAGGAGAGGTTTAGAAAAGAATTGTGTTTGTCTTCAGCTAGAGGAGTGTCTCCGTCTGCGCGTCTCGATTCTACAAGTTGGAGGGAGCATTCAAACAATAGAAGTTTATTTGTTCACAGTTCTGGGGAATCTGGTTAGGGCCCCATCCTGTGTCCTGACATGGTGGAGGTCATTACGGGACGAGAAAGGAACTGAGCAGATCTCATCTTAGAGGTGATGCCCCTTAGTGCTGTTATGAAGACAATTAAATTGGAGGGACAAATATTAACTCCATAGCAGGAACTTAAAGAGATATTTTATTTTTTAAACATTTTTTTTTTGTGTGTGTGTGTGGTGCTAGGGTTTGAACCCAGTGCCTTGTACATGCTACGTATCTGAGTTGGGGTTTCTGTTGCTGCAAAGAGACACCATGACCACAGCAGCTCTTATAAAGGAAACATTTAACTGGTGTGGCTGGCTTATAGTTCAGAAGTTCAGTCCATTATCATTATGACCGGAAGCATGGTGGCGTGCAGGCAGACGTGGTGCTGGAGAGGCAGCTGAGAATTCTACATCTGGATCCACAGTAGCAGAAAGGGACAGTCAGCCACTAGGCCTGGCTTGCACTTCTGAGACCTCAAAGCCCAACCCCAGTGACATATTTCCTCCAACATCGCCATACCTACTCCAACAAGGCCTTACCTCCTAATAGTGCTATTCCATATGAGCCTGCGGGGGCATTTTCTTTCAAGCCACCACATGATGCCTACCACTGATCTGCATTCCAGCCCTCACTGGTTTTTATGTATTTAAAATTATTATTTAAAAAATTTAAAATTACTTTATGTGTATGGGTATTTGGGTTGTATGTATATCTGTGCGTGCATGTGTATGCCTAGTGCCTGTTGAGGCCAGAAAGGTGTCAGAACCCCTGGAACTAGAGTTATAGACAGCTGTGAGCTGCTGTGTGGGTGCTGGAAATTGAACCTGCGTTCGTCGGAAGAGCTCAGAGCTCTTAACCACTGTGCCGTCTCTCCAGCCTTTAAAAATATGTTATTTATTTACTTATTTATTTTTTATTTAGTGTGTGTGTGTGTGTGTGTGTGTGTGTGTGTGTGTGTGTGTGTGTGTGTAGGTGCCTGAAGAGGCCAGAGGTGTCTAAGCTCTCTGCAGCTGGAGTTACAGGCAGTTATGAGCTGCCAGACATGGGTGCTGGGAACTGAACTCCAGCGCTTTTAACCACTGAGCCATCTCACCAGCACTTTCATGTTTTGTTTTGTTTTGTTTTGTTTGTTTTTCGAGACAGGGTTTCTTTGTGTAGCTTTGTAGTCTGTCCTGGAACTAGCTCTTGTAGACCAGGCTGGTCTCGAACTCACAGAGATCCACCTGCCTCTGTCTCCCAAGTGCTGGGATTAAAGGCATGCGCCACCACTGCCCACATATTTTTTAACTGTAAAATCTTTATAATGGACAGGCAAAATACCTATACACATAAATAAATAAATAGTATATGTATAGTATAGTATTTTATTCATTTGCCCAGAAATGAACAACTTTGTAACATGAGGTTCCTGCAGCCGTTTTGCCCCAAAAATAAACATACAGATGCTAAATTATGAAACTGTTTGCCGATGACTAGGGCTTCTTATTGGCTCTGTCCTAATTATTAACTCGTTTCTATTATCTAAGTATCCCCATGTGGTCTTACCTTACCAGAGAAAGGTTAGGTGTGTCCTATCTTCCCGGTCTCACGTGGTGTCTGCTCTCTGCCTACACTTCCCAGAATTCTCCTCCTCTGGTAGCCCCGCCTATCCTTCCTGCCTGGCCACTAGCCACACAGTGTTTTATTCATCAACCAATAAGAGAAACATATACACAGAAGGACAACCCCATCACAACTTAGTGGCATTCTGTGCAAAGTTTTGTTTAGCACCTACACCATTTTCTTAGATTTTTTTTCATCTTTCCACATCAAAGCTCTGTTCTCTCTGATACTAATGGCCAGCCCTACGACTCACATTCTATGGTCTCCATGAATCTGATCCTTCTGGGATCACCTTGATTCTTTAGTGCTTTGTTTCTGGACAGGGTTTCACTATGTAGCCATGGATAGCTTGGAACTCATCTGATAGCTGGCCTTGTTCTCACAGAGATCTGCCTGGCTCTGCCTCCCAAGTGCTGGAATTAAAGGCATGTGCCGCCAGGCCCACTTTCCTTTGTCTCCACGTGAAGACAGAGTAAAAGGCCCTCATTATGTCCTAGTGCAGTACCTTGATCTTGGATTTGCTAGCCTTGTGAGCTGTGAGAAGTCAGTTAAATTATCCAGCATTGTTAGTATGCAGGTATCTGTACTGACCTGTCCTTGGGGTTCTGACAGGATATGCTCTCAGCTGCAGCCACAAAGAGCACCACTTGTGCATATTCTCTATGTCCCCTTTTAAAAGGGTCCTGCCCATCTCCCATCCTTCTCTCTCTCTGCCCCCTCTTCCCCTATTTCCTCTCTCCTGCTTCTCCTGTCCCCAGAGGCTGGTCTTCCCTGTCTGCTTTCCCCTTTTTATGATCCCTTTCCGTAGTTAAAGAAAACCCTATGCTTGAACCCTGTTGCATGGCATCTTTCTCTCTTGGGCCGCTTTTCTTAAATTGCAGCAAGCATCCCAACTTTCCATCATTTTGATGCTGGATGATCTGAGATAAACCTGAGATGATTAAGAAGAAGAAAAGGGGAGGGAGATGGCTTTGTCAGTAAAATGCTTGCCATGCAAGCATGAAGACCCGAGTCTGCATCCCCAGCAACCACATCAAAAGCAAGCGTCGGGGTGCATGCTTGCAACCCCAGCACCAGAGAGGCAGAGGCAGGGAGATCTCTGGAACTTGATGCCAAGTGATCTAGGTGAGTGGGTGAGCTGCAGGCTCAGTGAGAGACTGATTAAAAAGGTAAAGTGGAGAGTGGCTGAGAGACAGATACCAGACATCAACTTCTGACCTTCGTATGCTTCGTATACATGTACTCTTGTACATGTATCTGTACACACACGTACAACCACAAAAGGAAAAACTGTTTGGGCCTGTGTCAAGGTGGCACATCACAGAAGGAGCCTCTGGTGGGTACTGCTTGGAAGTGGGGAGGTGGCGGTGGGGATGGGGTGGGGGAGCTTCCAATGCCTCCTCCACAGGCACACCCTCAATACTTACCGTCCTCTCATCAGACCCCTCTTCCTGAAGTTCCACAGTCTCTCCATAGTGCCGTGAACTGGGCCCAAGCCTTCGACTCATGGGACTTTGGGAGATGTTCAGGATCCAAACTCTAGTACCTAATCTGTGTGAAATTCCAGCCTTGTCTCTGAGATCCTTGGGAAATCACACCCCGACTCCTACCTCATGAGGCTTTGGGCAGCTGGACAGAGCCAGCTTAGCTAGCAGGGTGAAGGCCTATATGTGTACACCAGAGTGCCAGGAGGGGGCAGTAGCAGAATTTTGGTGTAGGAGGATCTAGATTGTTCCCCATGTTGGGACTAGGGGGCCTAAGACCTTGGTCCCTGGGACCTGCGTATGCTCAGAAGATTTTCTTTTCTGTCTTTGAAAGAGGATCTCAATATGTAGCCCTGACTGCCTGTACTCACAGGGATCCTTCTGCCTCTGCCTCCTGAATGCTGGGATTAAAGGTGCTCACTACCATGTCAGGCTTCAGAAGATTTTGATGGATCACTTCTGGCTTGTGAAAGGGTCATAGTGGCCTGTCTGTCCAGTGGCTCAGGGCCCATAGTCCCCTCTATGATAGGGAAGACTGCTTGTTAAAGAGATACCTGAGATACCTTATGTGAGGGTTTCACACAGAGTTCATTGTTGTTACTCGGTGTCCATGTAGTCTCTGATTTCTAACACACGAGCCATAAGCTCTCAGCCCCTACTTCTCTCTCTCTTGCTCTCTCTCTCTCTCTCTCTCTCTCTCTCTCTCTCTCTCTCTCTCTCTCGCTCTCTCTCTGGTTCCTTTTTTGAGACCCGGTTTCTCTGTGTAGCCCTGACTGTCCTGGAACTCCCTCTGTAGACCAGGCTGGCACCACCATTTCCTGATCCCCCCCCCCTTTTTAAGACAAGGTCTCACACTGTGCTCTGGGCTAGGCTGCAACTCCCTCTGTAGACCAGGCTGGCCTCGAACTCACAGAGATTAAAGGCATGCACTACCACCACCCCCTCCAGGTCCAGGATAAGGATAAGAATCTGATGATTATTGCCTAAGGCAGTATGGGCTAGGATCCAGAATTTGGAAGCTGCTGGTGCCAGCACATGGGGAAGAATTGCTTCTTCATTTGCACAGATAAGCGGTAGAATGGAAGGAGAGTAAGGAAATCAGGGAAGATGCAGGGAGCCCCCAAGCCTTCCATGCTGGAATGGAGGTCCCAGACCAATTGGGAAAAGCTCTGTGAAGATGGGCCCTCTCCCCTGGATCTTCAGTTCACTCTGCCCCACCCACTGCTATGCCCAGTAAATTTTCTGTGGCACTTTGATGGGGGCTTCAGGCCTGTGTCAAGTTGGACTGGGTCATGTGAGACTGCTGGCAGAAGCCATGAGAGCTGGTCAGGTCACCCAGAGTATGGAATTGGGGTGACTGGGTGGGAAACCTTAAGGAGAGAGGTCTCAACACCAGTTAATATCTAATGAACCCAGATTTCTGGAAGAAACCAGACTTAAGAAAGTTACTATTTTGAACTCATACAAAAAGGCTATGCAGTGGGTTTATTGCTGTCTTTTAAAATTACTTTTATTAATTTGCTGTGTGTGCACAGCATGAGTGTGGAGGTGAGATTTGGTTCTCTCCGATGATATGGGTCTTGGGGATCGAACTCAGATCTTCAGACTTGACAACAAGTGATTTTGCCCACTGAGTGATCTCAGCAGTCCCTTCTGTGGGCTTTGATGGCATGGGCTGACTCAGTCTGGTGCTCCTGGGCATCCGGTTTAGGTCTGGGCTTCCAATCTGGTTTCATGGGCTAGGCTCAATTCAGGGGCTCTTTGAATGTGTTCAACAGGCTAGCCAGAAGAACTAGGCCCAGCACAGCCACAGCTACTAGTGCCACATCCCACCAGATTCCTGAATAGGCCCATGATGGTGGCAGCTTCCAGCCACAGTTGCCCAGTTCATAGCCTGTCAGCTGACTCAGTGGACGCTTGGTGGCCAAGCTAGGGCTGGCACAGTGCACATGTTTCAGGGCCTCAGGCATACGGTCCTCAAGCCAGAGGCGCAAGTAGGTGAGGCTGCAATCACAGTGCCAGGGGTTGTGTGTCACATCAAGGTTCCACAGCTGAGGCATGTGGTCAAAGGCACCTGGTGGCACTGAACGTAGGCTATTGTTAGCCAGTAGGAGCTGGCGAGTGTGAGCTGGCAGCACAGGCAGGGCTGTGAGGCCCTGCCCCTCACAGTTCACCTTTAACCCCATGGTTTCCAAGGCCTGGCAGGTACAGGGCCTTGGGCAGGCCTCGGTGGCTGTGGCCACAGGCCAGAGCAGAAACAGGAGCCCCCAGGTAATCATCCAGCAGGCAGGCTGTGGGGAGAACAATGAGATTAGGGCCTGTCTGCCTGTACCAGGATACCTATGCTGGACAAAGGTGTGCACCTACTCTCCAGGCCTCTGCAGGGTGCAGGATCTCTGTGCTCTGTGCTAGGCTGGAACTCACTATGCAGCTCAGGAAGTGTGGTAGAGAGAGACAGGGTCTTCCTGGTTTCTGGCAGAGATCCCAGTCCCTGCTCATATAGGGGAGCAGGTGACTGCTAAGGGACTCCAGTCTTAGTCCCTGGCCACAAAGGCTAGGATAGGTCCTTTCAGACGGTACCCAGTCCTTTGCCTGAGCCTGGAGTCAGGCCATGGAATGCATTCTACACCTTGACCACTCTCTGATGCCTGATTCAAAAAACCCCGCAGGGCTTTCAGGGCGGCAGCTCAGAGGGGACCTTATAGGGACTCGTCTAAACACCACTCTTCTAGGCTAATGGCCAGAGCTGGGAAATGCAGGCCTAAAGAGGGGAAACACTTGCCCAGGCTCAGACCCAGAAGTCCATGGCAGAGTGCAGAGCCAGGAAGACATATCAGGATCATCAGGTTCTGCCTTGTTTGCTGCCTTCCCTCTCAGTTTAGGAGTAGGGGCTCTTTCTCCTTCTCAAGCATTTGCTCTCCTACCGGGGCCCACCTCCCAGCAGGCTTCAGGGAGTGTTCATAGAACAACTCATGAATCTTGATTCAGCCGAGTTTCTGGTTGACACCTTAGAGCAAATGCTCTCCCACGTTTAATCTTTTAGTGGAGAGTCAAGGGAGCGACACAAGAGTCCCCTCTTCTTATGCCAGCTCATCTGGAGTGGCCACCAGGCAGGAGGAAGTCATGGTGGAAATAAGGGAACCACTTACCTGTGAGGTCTTGGTTGGGGCACACCTTCTGTGAGCTGGTGGCATCCTGGTTAAGGCTGTGGTGGTAGTGTGTGTGAGCTGTGGGAGCTGGCAGTGGTGGCCACTGCTTGAGTAGAGGAAGGAAATGATGAAAATAGCCTGGTTTATCCCCTAAGTACAGCCCTGAGGGCCTATCTCAGAGGCAGGAGGCTCTTAGGGTCCCAGGGCCTTGGGCATAGAAATGCAGGCCAATTCTATTTTAAGGAGGGTACCTCTGTACCACAAGCAACCTGTGGCCTTGTGTGGTGGGTCTGGAGGCCAATCGGGGTGTCCTCTGCCCAGTCCTGGAAGAGAAGATGCTTAGATGAGCAAAGGTTGACTGTAAGTTCTTTATAGACACGGGCAATGGCCCTGGTGCTGCATACCTTCCTGAGGTGTGGGATGGGATCACAAGGATGCCTATTTATAGTCCTCCATCCCTCTGAAGATGGTGAGGAGGCTCCTTTTTTGTCCATGGTGTCTTTAGCACCTTCTCCTTCCACTCTAATAGACATGAAGGTTTGTAGCACTGAACCTCTCAGAGGCAGGACCCAACTACAGCCAAAGACCAATATATAACACATATTTACTCTTAAAGCCTCTTCCATTTGAGTGTGATATCATATTCCACTCCTGTTAGTAACTGTAATGTTTTTTTGTTTTTGTTTTTTACAAGATAAATGTAGTTTCAGTTTAATTAGTGCTTTTGGCTTTACAAGATACTAGTCAAAATCAGGCCTAATGGTCAAACAGAAACATCATGAAACTAAAACTCAAATGTGTGCATTTTTGTAATAAATCATAACAATTCCACAATTGTGACATTGTGCCAATTAACCAAGTCAGTTGATACTTAGCAGATGATAGAGTTCATGTGCCCAGAAGATGGGGAGGGGCTGCTGAGTCCTGGGCTGGAGTGACACTTGCTGAAACAGGGGCTCCTGGGACTGTGGGAGGAAGGATGGACCACTGTGGAAAGGAAGAGACCCCTGGCCAGCTCTGTGGTCATGGCTGGTGTTGGCCAAGGGCAACAAACACAGTAAGACAGTAAGAGGATCTTGGCCCTTGGTCTGGAGAGATTCAGATGGGTTTAGGGATGGAGAGGGAAACTGAGGCTGGGAGCAACAGTGCCACTGGCTAAAGAACACTGGATCTTGTTCAGCAGGACACATGTCATGCCAGCTGGGACACAGGTCAACATGTCCTTCACTGGTTCTTTTTTTTTTTTTTTTTTTTTGAGACAGGGTTTTTTTGTAGCTTTGGGGGCTGTCCTGGAACTCGCTCTGTAGACCAGGCTGCCCTTGAACTCACAGAGATCTACCTGCCTCAGCATCCCAAGTGCTGGGATTAAAGATGGGTGCCATCACCACCTGACTGTGCACTGGTTCTTAAGCAGTTCTAAGGTAGCTAAAGTCACACTGGCCCAGAGTCAGGGCAGAAGGCTGATACTCCCCCTACTGCATGCCTCTCCTCACCTCCACAGACTAGCTGTTATCCTCCCTGGTAGACAGGCCTTTCAGTGATGGCTGGGTCTCCCTGGAGGCCTATAGGGCCATGTGCTCTCTTCACAGCTTCTGTCCACCCTGCTTCAGCATGGCGGCTGGATATACATGGAACTCTCACTGGCTGAGCTCTGGTCCTCCAGGGCCAGCTTCTTCAACCTTCTGCCGCTGGCGCAGAGAGAGTGGGGGAGGTCTTCTCTGGCCCCTGCAGTCTTATCTGCCTGGAGCCCATTTTCCTGTACATGTGAGGACTCTGGCCCTGGTTAGGGGCCTCAGTCTCTGCTAGCCTTTCTTCCCTTTTTGGTAGAGCCCAAGGCATCAGGAATCTTCACTGTCCCATCTTTAGGGCATCCAGTTTCTCCTCAAGGTGTGGCCAGAGTCCCTGGGTGAGTGGGGATCCCACAGCCTCCAGGCTGTGCTCCTGGCCAAGCCGGTGTGGTCCATGCCTCATTTATTCAGGTTTCAAAGATTTCCTTATTTTTATCAGGTTACAGCAGCACCAGCAACAACAAAACCCTACACAAACACTTTTTTCTAGTGGAAAAATTGTAATGTTCAAAAGACTAGGAAGAAGAAAATTAAAAATGTTTTCAACCCCCAACATGAATAAGAATGTTTTTGGGATGTGGTGTTAAGGTATAACTCAACATAGAGCGCTTGTCTAACATGTGCAAGGACCTGAGGTTGGAGTCCCAGAGTCGTGGGTATAACTACATGGAAGTATGTTTTCTCACCCAAATAGAGTCATCCAGAGGCCACTCTCTCCTGTACCCTCCTCTTTCCACTGTGACTAAACCCACATCCACAGCATCCGTCATGGAGGCTCAGCATGGCTTCATGGGTGTGGCTTCCTTAAAGAATCCTCTTATCTCGGTTGCACAGGGCCTTTGTGGTGCCTAAAGGATCAGAGGTGCCCTGGCTCGTGGGGGCGGGTGCTCTGGAACTGTGGCTGAGCCCTGTCAAGATTACAAACCAGTACTGTTAACTGTTGCTACAACTGTTCTCTTCAGCTTTTATAAGACTGTGTAGTAAATAGTGTTTTAATGTTTTTTTTTTTTTGCAAATGATAAAAACTGTTAAGAGCTGTTAGACATGTCCTTATTTATTTTATTTTTTTTCTTTGAAACAGGGTTTCTCTGAGTAGTTCTGGCTGTCCTGAAACGTATTCTATAGACCTGGCTGGCCTCTAACTCACAAAGATCCACCTGCCTTTGGGATTAAAGGCGTGTGCCACTCACTATGCCTGGCTCAGATCCTTATTCTCTTTTTGGTTTGTCGAGACAGGGTTTCTCTGTGTAACAGCCCTGGCTGTCCTGGAACTCAATTTGGAGATCAGGCTGGCCTTGAATTCACAGAGATCCACCTGCCTCTGCCTCCCGAGTGCTGGAATTAAAAGTGTGCTCCACCACAGCCTGGTCAAATTTTTTATTTGTATTTTATGTACGAGTACTCTGCGTGTATCCCTGCAGGCCAGAAGACCTCATCAGATCCTATTATAGGATGGTTGTGAACCACCATGTGGTTGCTGGGAATTGAACTCAGGACCTCTGGAAGAGCAGCTAGTGTTCTTAACCTCTGAGCATCTCTCCAGCCCTGCCTTACCTTAATTTATAATCTCAACATTTTTATGCACTCTCAAACAGTTGGCCACACTCTAGGTCTTTTATTATGAAAAGAAATAATCATGCCATATGAGATGGCACTCTGCTATACTCCCAGTACTTGGGAGGCAGAGGCAGGAGGATTGTCTCAAAGATTGAGGCCAACATGTTCTACATGGTAAGATCTGGGCCAACCAGGGCTATGCAGCAAGACTTTATCTCAGAAAAAAAGAAAAAGACAAAGGAAGTAGTTATATGTGCCAGTAACAGAGTGGTGTTGCTGGGTCTTGAGATAGACCAGAGCCAGTGTTTCATTCCTCCATTGCTGGTGGGAGTGCAAACTTGTACACCCACTGTGGAAATCAGTATGGTGGTTTCTCAGAAAATTAGGAATCAATCTACATCAAGACCCTGCAATTGGGGCTGGAGAGATGGCTCAAAGGTTAAGAGCACTGACTTCTCTTCCAGAGGTCCTGAATTCAATTCCCAGCAACCACATGGTGGCTCACAACCATCCCTTATGAGATCTGGTGCCCTCTTCTGGTGTGCAGATATACATGGAAGCAGAATGTTGTATACACAATAAATAAATAAAATCTTTAAGAAAAAAAAAGAAGACCCTGCAATACCACTGTTGGGCATATACCCAAAGGAGTCACATTCACACCACAAGGACATTTGCTTAACTATGTTCATAGCAACATTATTCATAATAGGCAGATCTTGGAAACAACCTAGATGCCCCTCAACTGAAGAATGGATAAAGAAAATGTGTGGAGTACATTACACAATGGAGTACTATTGAGCGGTAAGAAACAATGACAGTGGATGGAACTAGAAAAAAAAAAAAACAAAAAACATCCTGAGTGAGGTAACCCAGACCCAGAAAGACAAACACGGTATGGACTCACTCATAAGTGGATACCAGACAAAAAGCCCAGCCTGCAATCCACAACCCCAGAGGAGCTAGAACCGTCTTCCAGAAACAGATGGAAGCAGATGCAGAAAT